TCCTAACACCGCTAAAGCATAATCTTCCTAACCTAGAATATTAACTACCATACTAACAAACCATAAAGTATGCTCGCCGATTTACTATCTCTACCAAGTTCTGAGTTCTTCAACTGAAATACCTTTTGAGCTTGCCCGCATTCTAATATCGTGGAATAGATTTCCCATCCAAATGCTCTATCTGATAAGCTCTCGTGTTAGTGGGCGATGTTACTCGGTATGGGCCTTCCCAATTAGCTGCCAATTTCCCATCTCTTGCATTCTTATTTCCAACATCTGCTCGCCTGAGCACCAAATCCCCTACTTGAAATGTCCTCTTCACCACCGTTCTATTGTACCTTGTCGCTGCTTGCTGCTTGAATGCCATTTCTACCATTGCTGTTTTTTCTCTTTCTTCCTCAAACAACTGCAGATCAATCTTCATCAACTCGCTATTTCCTTCTTCTTTTTCTTCTGGCAACAATTATCTTCTCCACGATGGCTCTCCAACCTCTACGGGCAACATTGCATCAAACCTGTACGTCATCTTAAATGGTGTTTCTTGAATACTAGACTGCACCGAAGTTCTATATCCCCATAACACGTTGTCTAATTCTTCAACCCAACTTCCTTTGCATGCTTTCACTCTTCTTTTCAACCAGTTTGTCAGAATTTTATTTGCAGATTCTACCTGCCCATTCATTTGCGGGTGTGCTACTGCTGCAAATTGGTGCTTCACTCCCAAGTCAGCTACCACTTGCCGAAATTTTCTGTCTACGAACTGTCCCATTATCCGTAATAATTATAGCCAGAATACCAAACCTGCACACTATTTTCCTAATGAAAAACTTCTGGACTTTCCGAGTAGTAATAATGGCGATGGGTTCTGCCTCTATTCACTTAGTAAAGTAACTATCAAGTATTTACCCCTTTAGCTGCTTTGGGAAACGGACCCAAAAGGTATATTCCCCATTTGAAAAATGGCCAAGGAGATGAAATCATGAACAACTCTTCTGGAAGAGCTTGATATATGTTAGAAAACTTCTGGCACTGTTCACATTTGCGTACATGCTTTTTAGCATCCTCCCTCATTGTTGGCCAAAAATATCCTGCTTGTATAGCTTTCCTCGCTAGCGATTTACCTCCAAGATGATGTCCATTAATTCATTCATGTATTTCTTCTAACACATATTCTGTGTTTGGCGCAGCTATACATTTCAACAAAGGGGAATTTATTCCTCTTCTATACAACTACCCTTCTATCATTACAAATCAAGCCGCTCTTCTTCTCAACCGACTTGCTTCCATTTTTTCCTTTGGTTCCCTTCCTTTTTCCAAATAATCCTTAATTGGACTTCTCCAATCTATTTCTTGTACCATCCACACTACACTCGGAACCCGAATACTTTGTTGTATGATGGTCCTCAAATTTCCTGTGGCTTTAATGCTTGCCAACTTCGACAAAACATCTGCTCGGATATTATCGTTTCGCCGAATGTGTTCCACCCGGATCTCTTTAAATTCTCTCATCAACTCTTGTACCCTTGCTAAATATTTAATCATAATCTCCCCTCGAGCTTGGTACACTCCGCTTATTTGTGAAGTCGCCAACTGAGAATCACTAAATACTTCCAAACACTCTGCTCCAAGCTCCTTTGCCAAAATCAACCCGACAATCATTGCCTCATACTCTGCCTGATTATTACTTGTGGGAAACTCCAATGTCAGCGAATGTTCTACTGCTACCCCTTCCGGGTTTTCTATTATAATCCCTACACCACTGCCTCTTTTATTGGACGATCCATCCACAAATAACTTCCACCAACCATTTTCTTGCTTACTTCCGGGATGTGTCATTTCTACCACAAAATCGGCTAAAGCTTGTGCTTTGATCGCATTACGTGCTTCAAAATGAATGCCAAATTCGGATAACTCTACTGCCTATGCCACCATCCGACTTGCGAGATCCGGCTTAAGCAACATTTGCTTTATTGGCTGATTAGTCCTAACGACTACTTGGTGGCATGAAAATACTGACGAAGTCTCCTTGCTGTAATTAACAGTGTAAATGCCACTTTTTCTACATGCTAATACCTTACTTCTGCTCCTTGTAATACCTTGCTTATGAAGTATACCGGTTGCTGTTTCCCATCTTTTCCTTCTCGGACAAGAACTGAACTGACTGGCTCATGTGACATGGACAAATATAAGAAAAACACTTCGTCAGGTTCCGACTTGCTAAGAATTGGTGGCGAAGCCAACATTTCCTTGAAACACTGAAAAGCTACTTCACACTCCTCCGTCCATACAAAATTACATCCCTTTTTTTAAAAGTTGAAACAACGGCAACGACACATGTGTTGACTTAGCCAAAAATCTGGACAAAGCTGTTACTCGCCCGTTCAACTTCTGGACTTCTCTAATATTCTCTGGGCTCTTCATTTCCATCACTGCTCTACATTTGTCTGGGTTGGCTTCGATTCCCCTTTCTGTCAAGAGGAAACCCAAGAACTTTTCTGCTGGAACTCTGAAAGCACATTTATTAGGATTCAAGCGCATATTGTGCTTCCTGACTTGCTCAAACACTTCCTGCAAGTCTTTCAAATGCCTCTTACCATCTTCCGACTTCACGATCACATCATCCGTGTACACCTCCAACATTCTACCCATCTGCTCCTTGAACACTTTGTTCATCATTCTTATATAAGTTGCTTCTGCATTTTTTAACCCAAAAGGCATTACATTGTAACAATATACTGCATTCTCAGTTATGAACGCTGTCTTTTCCTGATCTTCCTTCCATAACGGTATCTGATTGTACTCGGAATACGCATCCATAAATGACAACACCTTATACCCGGATGCCCTGTCCACCAAATGATCAATACTTGGTAATGGAAATGGGTCTTTAGGACAAACTTTATTCAAGTCTGTATAATCTGTACAAATTCTCCACTTCCCATCCGGCTTCCTTATTAACACCGGGTTGGCTAACCATGTAGCATATTCTATATCTCTAATAAATCCCGCTTCTAAGAACTCCCTTGTCTTTTCTTCAATGACCTTCCTCCTTTTTAAACAAAATCGTCTCTTCTTCTGGGCTACTGGCTTTACACATGGGGTCATTGCCAAACAATGACAAGACAATGCAGGATCCATTCCGGGCATATCAGAGGGTTTCCATGCAAACAAATCAACATTCTTTCTCAACAACTCCTTCAAGCTCGCTACCACCCCGGGTTCCAACTCGGAACCTATCTTTGTAAACTGCTGTTGAGATATTCCTAATTGAACTTCTTCCATAGCTCCGGCAGGTTCTGACCTCTCCCCCTTATCTTCAGCTTGGGGATCCATCCCTATTACCATCACTTGCTCCTCTTTCCTTCTCTCATTTTCTACTTGTATTTCTTCCTCCACCTTTTCTCTTTCTAACTCTATCATTTTTTCTCTCTTACTTGCTTACGGAACTCTTAAACTCATATTATAACAACTCCGAGCAACCACTTGGTCCGCCCTTACTGTAGCTACTGCCCCATCTTTGGCCACAAATTTCATAGCCAACTAATCTATCGACAAAAAGATCTTAAATTTCTTCATGAATGGTCTTCCCAAAATAATATTGTACGCGGAGCCCAAATCTACCACTGCAAACGACAAGGTGACCGTTTTATGCGTAGGTGCATTTCCCAAAGTTAACCTCAATGGGATATATCCTAACGACTTAATTTTATCTCCTGTGAAGGCTAACAAATCAGCCCCACATGGTTCCAGTTGATCATAATCTAAGTCCATTCTTCTGAACGCGTCCCAAAATATAATGTCTACCGAGCTCCCTGGATCTACCAACATTCTATCAACTCGATAGTTTGCTAGCAATCCTGAAATCACTAAAGGATCATCATGCTCTGGGTCTAATATCTCATCATCCAGGTCTTCGAAAACTACTTGCTTGCCCGTCTTTCTTCTTTCCTCCTTGAAACGCGGCTTTTCTGAGATAGCCATGCACATTTTCAAATGTTTTTTCCGGGCATTACCTGACTCTCCTCCCCCTGCTCGCCCTCCAGCTATAGTACATATGTTTCCCATCTGGACTTGACTGGGTGATGCTTGCCTTTCTTTTTGACTTTTACCAGCCTCCCGGTTTCCCCCTCTAGGCGGGCTCCGACTACGGTCTGGTCGCCTGTATTTATCTTCTTTACCTCCTTCTCCTTCTCCCCTTCTCACATACTTCTGTAACTTCCCTTCTTTGATCAGCCATTCGATAACATTCTGCAAGTTATAACAATCGTTCGTAAAATGTCCGTACCCCCGATGGAATTCACACCATTTTGTTTTATCCGCCTGCACGTAACTCGACCGAATAAGTGGCGGCCTTGGGACGTTTCTCATATCAGTGAACATTACTTCCTTCAATATCTGAGCTCTAGATGTATTCAATGGTGTGAACTCCCTCCTGTATGCCTCTCTGAATCTTTCTCCAACCAACCGAGGCCGCCTATCTTCAAACTGCCCCCTTCCAGCTGGTCTCTCCGGCCTCCTACTTTGAGTTGCTTCTCAGAAACCTTGTTCAATTTGCTTTTGAGAGGATTTAAATTCCTCCAAATCAATGTACTTCCGGATTCTTTCTAACAAATCTTTCTTTGTAGCTGGACACTTTTTGGCTAACGAGTTCGCCATCCCTCCGGGTTGTAATCCAGTTGTGAACAACAACAAATACGTTTGATTTTCTAACCCCTTGACTTGCCTTGCTTCAGCTTGAAAACGTTCATAATAATCTCGCAACTTTTCTCCGGGCTTTTGCCTTACTCTGCACAAATTATGCGTGGTTTTGGGCTGGGGTCCACAATGAGCAAATTGTTGCGTAAACCGGAGTGACAACTCCGCCCAGCTTTTGATGGAATTATCCGGCTAAGCCGTAAACCACTCCAAAGCCTATTTTCTCGGAAACACAGGAAATGTTCGACATAACAAAAAGTCTGATTCCCCGCATAGGGACATTGCTGCTCGGAAAACCGTTACAAACTCCTTCGGATCCGAGCTCCCATCATACGCCTTCATATCATTTGGTTGCTTAAACCAAGTCGGGATCGGTTCCGCTCTTATCCTCCAAGACTAAGGGGTTCCTGATAGCCCTTGACTTATTGGTTGCACAGGGCACCCTTGTTGCGCTTGCGTCTGTTGTTGTGCTCCTCCGGGTTGTCCATTCCGTCCGGGCATTGCTTTCCCCATATTCATCATTTGCCCTCCGTAGAAATGAGGACCAAAACCTTCTTCATGTCCTGGTCCATAATATTGATAACCTAGATTCGTTGGGTTATTACCTGCCTGTCGTCTATCTCCTCCCTGACCTTGATCTCCGCCCAAGTAATAATACTCAGTTTCTTCTAGCGGGAACTCACCCCTATGGTTAGCATAACTTCTTCCAGCTTCTGGCCTCCTCCTCTGATAAGTCTCTTCGTACCGCCCTCGATTTGCCTCTCGTTATTCTTGACGAGTATGATAATGGCGGCCTCGCGGGTATTGCTCTTCCTCTCAATTTTCCCCTTCTAATTGTTCGCCCTCCATATTCTGGTACTGTCTCGTTCTTCCTGTTCTCCGGGCATGATCATCATATGCCCGCTCTTCCATTCTCTGATTTGTTCCTCGTCCTCTACCTTGATAGCCCATCCTTTCTGGAGGACTCCTTGACTCTCGACAAGGTTGTCCTCTCCTTATTTCAGTTCCTCCATTCCCTCCCGCAGTTGGGTGCGATAATGGAATATAACTAGGAAAAGGAGACAAGGGATCTCCCCCTGTTAGGGGACTGCTGCACATTTCCTGCATGTCGTCTTTCTTCTGAACCACATGTCCTTTGCCCTCCTTCTTGATGCTGCCTATTCCTTATGTCTTCTACTAACTGAATTAAAGCTTCTCCAATGGTGTTAAGAGACCGTCTCCTTCCACTGGATCGAAAAGAGTCTTCCTCTCCTTGGTAACCTGCGTCCTCCACCGCTCGCTCGTCATGGTTATGGCTTGCCATGACACAAGAGAATGCGTAGGAATCTTTTTACCTATCCCCACAGACGGTACCAAATGTTCTGGATGAACATCAGTATGGATTCTATCTGGTTAATGTCTGCCTCATCGTAGGCACCTATCCTTGATATATATAGCTCTTGCTTAGGCAGTTACTTTAAACATGGGTGGTTATTGATACTATCATGGAATCGTGGTAGGGCCTACTTTTGATTCCGATACGTGGGTTTTTACCCTGGTTAACTAACTAACCATTCGGGTAAGGGTCCTTCCGAGTTCAGTCAACCGTTATCCTTGCTGGTAATACCCGTACGTATGAACCCGAAATAATATAGATAAAAAATTATAATATCCTTAATTTTTATATATCATATTTATTTTTAATTTAGACCTTATATTTTTTGTTATAATGCTAATAAATAATCTGATGAATAAAGAAGATTAAACAAAAAAAAAAGTATACATATAATCATTAGATCAAAAACTTGTTTTATTCAAAAAAAATAAAAAGAATAAATTAAATTTCATATACCAATTAAAATAAATTTTATCTTACTATAAACCTTGCTATTTTTAAAAAATTTAAGTATGAGTATTGAAGTTTATTGGTTAAGAATGAATTAAGTAAAAATTATATAAATAAAAGGAATTATAAATCTAATTTCTTAACATTTTAGTTGAAATATGGTGCCAAATTTATTTATGACAATTTACTTTTAGAATTACTTCTAATTCTCTCATTACCATGAAGTTCTCCGAGTAGTTGCTCGTGAATATTATTAGAGTTAGGTTTCATTTTTCCATGTTGCACGAAAAAAATTACCTTATGAAAATAAATAAATATAATATGAATAATATGTAATTATAATAATAAAATAATTTTCTCTGTACTTTATGTCAAATGATAATATCTGAGGAGAAAAAAAATAAAATAATTTTAATATTATAATTATACATTATTTGTAATATATAATTATTTTTTATTTTGCACGAGATAATTTTTTTCAGCTATATAAATTGTTTTTCCATTAGAGTTAACTATTAATTAGCACGTGTGAAACGATTGCTTGGAGATAATGTCTGATGATTGGGTTTCTATTGTTTCAAAACTCATGTGATGAGTATGTATTCCAAATACATACATGGATGCATGCATATACTTAGAAGATGAATGCTGATGCTGTAGACAACATGACGTGGCGAACAGTAAGATATGAGGCTAGAGGGAAATATCATTGCCACGTAGGCACACAATCTAAGCTTCTCAGAGCACCTAAAGATCTTCTCTTTCTCTCTCCTTTTCTCTGTCTCTCACCCTATGAAGTAACCAGTAACCACCACCTCTTTTAAATATTTTCTCTCGTGAAACATTTTGATATATAATAAGAAAAATCAACATCATAACCCCATTTTTGTAGCAGCATCGTTTCACCTTTAAAGTCAGAATATTAGTTTCTTAAGGTATCATCAGTTCTGTGTACATAAAAGTGGTCAGGTAAACAAATTTTCTTAATTAATTGTTATGAAATCTTCTGTTACATTTTTTTTTCTTCTAATTTCATGTTTTTAATTTTTGTTCTTGGTGTTATGCTGATTTCTGAAGTGGGTTTTATTTTATTTTATTTTATTTTTTTAATTTTATTGTATAGGTGAATCTGAGTTTTTGTTAGATATTTTAGTGAGATTTTCATTTTGATATTTTTATGGTGCCGGTTTTTGACTCAATCTCATTATTTCGTTTTGTTTTACTAAGTTGGTTGGTTTTTCAAAGCTGTTCTTGCTCTGTTTGAGATTGTTCTTTTCTCTGATTTTCACTATTTAAACAATTAATTTGATTTTATGGTGGAAAGAAACTTAGAAATCGCCTTTACGCCCTAACACTTTCTAGTGTACAAATAACTATAATATTCTGTTAGATGCATTGATTTGTTATATCTTTAAACTGTTTATATTAATTTTTTGTATTTGCTTTCCACCAAATGCACAAATTTTATGAAACTTGATTTTGGTGCACCAATTCTTGTTGATGGATATGATATACTAAGGTAAAAATATGTGGGGATGCTAAACAGGAAATGCTGAATTACGATATTTTAATTCTTGACTGGTAGCCGGTTTTGGCTGGATTTTGGGTTATTGGTTTTGATATCAGAAGCTGAAGGGAATACCTTGAAAGTTGAAAGTAGATTTATGCTTGAATGGCTTGTTCCAGTGGAAGGTGGATTGAACCTCTTCAGTTTTCTTCATTGTTCTGGCCTCCCCCACATGATGATCTACAAAGAAAGGTACAATATTAGTATGTGTTCTATTTATACATATTATAATAGCAATATATTATTATTATTATTATTATTATTGTTATGTATAATGTTCCAATGTTTCATATTGAGGTTATAGAACTTGAGCAGTTAATGTAGAAGAAAGGAAGAAAATTTTAAGCCACTTTGGTTGGAAAGAAAACTCTCCATGAATAATCTTTGAGAAAAGTAGTAGATATCATTTTTTTTTCTGGAGGCTTAAAATTACCAATGAGTACTTTTTAGATTTTATTACCACTTTACTTAATTCTTTCTGATGATAAATTTTTTGGGAAGCAAACTTGGTTGTTAAGCATTTGGTTTACTGTGAGGTTTTTGACATATGAGTGTAGTGATTTTTAACATTGATTTGCTGAAATGTACAAAGTTGTTTGGTGTGTCAATGTTGCAATATCCTTGTTATTTTGCAGCAAGATTTTTGATTTTTCATATTAGATATTGATATTAAATCAGGATATTCATTTTCTAAGATATTCTGAAAAAAGTTGTAGACAGCAAATCAACACTGAGCATTTTAAAAACTTTGATGTATGAATAGAGAGGAAAAGTTCGAGTGATGAATGATTAGGATGAGGAAGTATTTATTTTCCCCGAACCATAGCTTATTGAGATATTTTACAGAATTCTTTGAAATTTTGAAACTGAATGTCCAACGGTTTATTGTTTGAACTCACCAATGCATATTTTGATACATAATTACAAAGTTAAGATTTACATAAAGAATTGTAAATCATGACATCCTCTTTAAGGTATTTTAATAGAGCATGATCATTGTCATTTTGTTTCTCAAATTTTGATTCAAGAAGTCCAAAACAATGTGAAATATCTAATTATCCCCCATAAGTTGAATCATCCTAATGCAAACCTTGGAAAATTGTTTAGAAATGAATTTTCTTATAACAAAAAGCTCTATCAATGATTGGGTATAGTGATGAATATGTGACAGATTTTTCCCTTTCATTCTCTATTACTGTTAGAATATATTAGATATAATTAGATATGATTAGTCTGATTAGATATGATTAGAGTCTGTAATTATTCTGATTGTATTAGGTTTGGGCCTTTCATTTAAGCCCATTAGAGTCTCTATATATTGTAACTCTCTGAATTAGATCAATACACAACATATTATTTTATATTCAAGTTGGTACCAGAGCTCTTTCGTTCTGGGGACCCTCGCTTTAGCTTAGAAACCTTGTTTTTGCTTTAAAACCTAAGCCCACTGCTTAGGAGTCCTCTTTCTTGCCGTGCGTCCTTCCGGCAAGCCATCTAGGGCTGTAAACAGCCTCTGAGTAATTTTTCCAAACGCGTCAGCACCTTCGACGGCCACCGGAACCACCGCCCGCCACCAGAATCACTGTTCAGGCCACCGGAGACTTTTCCGACCAAACTTCACGCGATCAAAACCGTCTCTTCCCGGCGACCAGGTCTGTGGAGGTCCGGTCAGCAACGCACCTCCCACGCGCTCTCACGCGCCTCAAAGCTCCTCTGCGCGTGGGCCTCACGCGCCACCTTCTGCCTGTGTGTGAGCCCTTTTCCGGCGGCTTTTTCTGGTCGGTCTTGGACAGAGAAGCTCGCCTTCTCCTGCTCTTTCTGGATCTGTGGTTGTTTTGGTGTGGGTCTGACTTTTTGCGCGCACCCCTTCTTGATCGGTGATAAGGTTCGTTCCTATTTACTCGGTTTATATCTTTCTGATTTCTTATTATGGCAGCAGATGGTTCTGTTCATTCGGAGGTCAATTCTCCACCTCCTCCTGTCAAAAATTCTCCCAATATCATCTCTACAAATGTTGGGTCCATTACCTCTTCAAAATTGAAGGGTTCTGTTAATTACAAGAACTGGGCCACCTCTGTTCGAGTTTGGTTCTTTGGTCAAGGACATGGGAGCCACCTCACGACTAAGTCTACTGATGTCCCTAAGGAGGAAAAGTCTGATTGGGAAAAGATCGACAAATAGCTTCTGAGCATCCTCTGGCAATCTATTGATCCAGTTGTCTTGGGCATCTTCTATTCGTTTCAAACTTGTACTGAAGTGTGGCAGGAAGCAAAAAACCTCTACACTAGTGATGTTCAGCAGCTCTATTTCATCATCTCTCAGTTTATGGAACTGAGCAAATCATCCGACATTCAGATGGAGACATATGTTGGCAAGAGTCGATCTTTGATGCAGGCATATTTGGATATGTTGTCTTACCCTACTGATGCTACTGCATATCGGAAACAGGTGGAATGCCTCTTTATGGTTGCCACTCTGTCTGGCCTCCCTGAAGAATATGATAATGTCCGGGATACTATCTTGACTAGTGAGGAGCCTGATCTTTCAATGACGTATCAGGGTCTTCTGAATCTGAATAAGAAATCTGCTCCTGCATCATCTTCTGCTGTTGATTCTACTGCTCTAGTTTCCCGTACTGACTTTCGCGGGAACATTGGAGGTGGACGTGGTTGTGGTAGAGGCCCGGGAGGACGTGGTCCAGGAGCCCCAGGAGGAGGAGGACGTGGCCCAGGAGGCCTAGTCGGACGTGGTCAGTGACCTCGTTGTAATTACTGTCAGCAACTTGGTTATTATGAGGAACGTTGCTACACAAAGTACCCTCACCTGCGACCTTCTTATGTTGCTAATATAGCTCAATCGGATTCTGCTTCAAATGGTACAGTCTCTCTCTCCTCTGAAGACTATGCAGCATTCCAGACTCTTCTCAGAAAGGTCTCTCCTCAGTCTCAGGCCTCTCCTTCAGAAACTGGTAATCCCGTTGCTTGTATTTCTCATTCTGCATCACTTGGCCCTTGGATATTTGACTCAGGTGCTACTGATCACCTCTGTGGTAATAAGGAACTCTTTTCATCCCTTACATATTCTGATAACTTACCCTCTTTTACCTTTGCTCATGGCACTAAGGCTCCTGTTCATGGAATTGGACAAATCTGTCCAACCCCCTCATTGACCTTAACATCTGTCTATTACATTCCTAACATCCCTTACAATTTAATATTTGTTAGTAAATTGATCAACTCTCTTAACTGTATTGTCACTTTCTCAAATCATTCTGTTTCTGTGCAGGACCCGGGTATGGGGAAGACGATTGGAGTGGGTCGTGAGTCACAGGGTCTATTCTACCTGGTTGTGCCGAGTCCTTCCGTTGCTTGTTCTCTCACAGAATCTCCACAACTCATCCACAGTCGCCTCGGGCATCCTAGTCTTTCCAAGTTACAGAAGATGGTTCCTCTTTTGTCCGGTCTTCAGACTTTAGATTGTCAGTCATGTCAGCAAGGAAAGCACATACGCTCCTCCTTCACTAATCGAGTCAATAAACGAGTTGATGCTCCTTTTGCAATTATTCATTCAGATATTTGGGGTCCTAGTCGTAGTGTGTCTGTTTTAGGTTTTCGGTATTTTGTTACCTTTATTGATGATTTTTCTCGTTGTACCTGGATCTATTTAATGAAAAACCGTTCTGAGTTGTTTTCTATTTATCAAAAACTTTATGCTGAAATTCATACTCAATTTGGTGCCTCTATTTGTATTTTACGTAGTGATACTGCTAAGGAATATGTTTCTGTGAACTTTTCTAATTTCTTAGCCAAACAAGGTACTTTACACTAAACTACTTGTCCTCACACTCCACAACAAAATGGAGTAGCTGAACGTAAGAATAGACACCTCATTGAGACTGCACGGACTCTTCTTATTCACATGCATGTTCCTCTTCACTTCTGGGCCGATGACATTCCTTATCACTTATTGCTTCCAGATGTTCCTCTCTATCCTCTATCCCCACATGTCTTTGGTTGTACTTGTTTTGTTCATGATCTCACCCCTGGTAAAGACAAGTTAACATCCAAAGCTTTTAAATGTATTTTTCTTGGTTATTCTCGTCTTCAAAAGGGTTATCGTTGTTATTCTCCAGATCTTAAGTGTTACTTAGTTTCCGCTAACGTCACTTTTCTTGATCAACAACCCTTTCATTCTATCCCATCTCAGTTGTCACAGGTTGATCATGTTTTTCCTGTCTCTTTTCTTGACTTGTCTTTGCCAGCTGCAGGTACTTCTATTCCAGATAAGTAACCTATTGCTTCAATTCCTACGGACCGTCCACTTCTCACTTATCAGCGTCGTAAAACTGTGCCTCCCGTCGACTCGACTCCTGCTGACTCATTGCCCCCTGCAGTTGATTCTTCCCCTCCGGATCCTTCACCAGAGGCTCTTCCTATTGCTCAAAGAAAAGGTACACGTACTACTCGTAACCCTTATCCTCTTTATACCTTTTTGAGCTATGACCGTCTTTCTTCACCTCATTTCACCTTTGTTTCTAGTCTTTCTTTTATTTCTATTCCTAAAACCACAGGTGAAGCACCTTCCCATCCAGGATAGCGCCAAGCGATGCTTGATGAGATGACTGCACTTCATTCCAATGGCACTTGGGACCTTGTTTCTGCTCCTCCAGAGAAGTCTATAGTTGGTTGTCGCTGGGTGTTTACTGTAAAAGTTGAACCTGATGGTCATGTTGATCGACTCAAGGCACGCCTAGTTGCCAAGGGTTTTACTCAAATCTTTGGCCTTGATTATGGCGATACATTCTCTGGTCGCTAAGATGGCATCAGTCTGCCTATTTCTTGCCCTTGCTGCTGTTCGTCACTGGCCACTTCTTCAACTTGACATCAAAAATGCCTTTCTTCAAGGTGATTTGCAAGAGGAAGTTTACATGGAGCAACCACCTGGTTTTGTTGCTCAGGGGGAGTCTGGAAAAGTGTGTCGTCTTCGAAAATCCTTATATGGTCTCAAGCAATCTCCTCGAGCATGGTTCAGTCGCTTCAGTTCTGCCGTTCAGGCGTTTGGCTTAATCCGCAGTAAAGTTGATCATTCTGTATTTTATAGGATTACATCTCCTGACAAGGGCATCTATTTGTTAGTCTATGTTGACGACATCATTCTCACCGGAAGTGATCAAGACAGAATTCGTCAGTTAAAATAGCATTTATTCAATGCATTTCAAACAAAGGACCTTGGGAAGCTGCGTTACTTCTTGGGAGTTGAGGTGGCGCAATCTAGACAGGGCATTTCTATTTGTCAAAGGAAGTCTGCCTTGGATATCCTCGAAGAAACTGGTATGTTGGGGAGTAAACCAGTTGATACACCCATGGATCCTAATGTCAAGTTATTGCCCGGACAGGGGGAGCCGTTATCTGATCCTGGACGTTATCGGAGGCTAATTGGGAAGCTCAATTATCTTACTGTGACTAGGCCAGATATTTCTTTCGCTGTTAGTACGGCTAGTCAGTTCCTTGATTCCCCTTGTGATTCACATTGGGATGCTGCTGTGAGGATCCTCCGATACATCAAAGGAGCACCAGGAAAATGTTTGTTGTATTCAGATCAGGGAAATACAGAAATTTGTGGTTATTCAGATGCTGATTGGGCAGGATCACCCTCGGACAGCGCTCTACTTCCGGCTATTGTGTCTTCTTTGGAGGAAACTTAATTTCATGGAAGAGCAAGAAACAACCTGTAGTTGCTCGGTCTAGTGCAGAAGCTGAGTATCGTTGAATGGCAAATACTACCTGTGAGTTAATCTGGTTAAAGCAGTTGATTCAGGAGCTTCATCTTTGTGAACAGAAACAACCCATGACACTCATCTGTGATAATCAAGCTGCGCTACATATATCCTCTAATCCTGTCTTTCATGAGAGGACCAAACATATAGAGATTGATTGTCACTTCATTTGAGAAAAGATTCAATCAGGAGAAATCAAGACTGCTTTCGTCAACTCCTCTGATCAACTAGCGGATGTCTTCACTAAAGCTCTTAGAGGTCCTCGGGTTCAATACATTTGTATCAAGCTTGGTGCTCACAATATATACGCACCAGCTTGAGGGGGAGTGTTAGAATATATTAGATATGATTAGTCTGATTAGATATGATTAGATATGATTAGAGTCTGTAATTATTCTGATTGTATTAGGTCTGGGCCTTTCATATAAGCCCATTAGAGTCTCTATATATTGTAACTCTCTGAATTAGATCAATACACAACATATTATTTTATATTCAAGTATTACCAACTAGTCACTAGTCTGAGAGCAGCAGTGTTTTGGTCAATTATAACTGAAAAATATATGCTTCCAAACCTATGTTTAAGCAGTTTTATGTTCTGTTATATTATATACACATCATTGTTATTCCATTTACTTGATTGTTATCACATATATTTCTGATTTTTCTTAGGATCAAATTGCTGTGTATGTTGAGTACTTTGGACAATTTACATCAGAAGAATTTCCTGATGATATTGCCGAGGTATGATAAATGAAACTATATTTGCAGATAAATGTTGAAAATTGGAAATAGAAATATATACAAATTATTTTCGTAGATTCAATTAAAAAACTGTGTTTTGACTTATGAATCCAAGAGTTTGTATCAAACATCACTCACTGGCCTGTATTACTTTGACAGTTGATCCACAACCATTATCCATCAAAAGAAAGGCTCCTTTTTGATGATGTTTTGGGTATTTATGCTTTACTTCATGTTAGTTTAAATTATAATTGATTCAACAATCATATTATTACATTGAAATTATTACTATTTCTTTCCTGATCAACTTCTTTATGTATTCACATGTACATTCAGCGGTATTTGTTCTTCATCATCCCGAGCATGGGCATGCAGTTCTACTTCCAATTATTTCATGCATTATTGGTGGTATGCTAGTCTATGATAAGACAAGTCCTCCATTTGCTTCTTTCGTATCTCTAGTCTGCCCAAAAAGTGAGGTATTTTCTCTTGGCTTATATTTTGATTTTCTTTGTATCTAATGCAAATTTATAGCAAAGAAAGCTTCTAGTTTGTGAAATACAGTCACAAATTATTTACGTTATAAAATTGTTTTGACTTTTAGCTTCTAAGTGATTTAAGTATGTCATTTAATCAGCTTCAGTATCTGCACAGAAGTTCTCTGTCAAGCTTTTTTGAATATTCTGTCTAATTTTACAGAATGAATACTCAGAACAATGGGCTTTGGCATGTGGTGAAATTTTGCGTATTTTAACTCATTACAATCGACCTGTATACAAAGCGGTGAGACAATATAGTGAAACAGAAACAAGCAATGGAGGAAGCCATGCCACAAGTGGTTCCGTAGATGGGGAGTCTGGCCATAATTCTTTGATGCAGCACGAGAAGAAACCTATAAGGCCCTTGTCCCCTTGGATTACTGATATATTGCTGGCTGCACCTTTAGGCATTAAAAGTGACTATTTTCGGTGGTGAGTATATTTTGGTTATGCTCATAAAGTTACATATGGTTTTGCTTCTTTGAATTTGGGTAGATGATATTGATCATATGTTTTGGTTGTGCCTCTGAGTTCAAAGGTTTTCATGATACAGTCTGTTTCAGTTCAAGGTTCAACCTCAAACCCAATTGTATTTCATGGCTTATAAATTTTGGAAACCAAAGTAACCAACATTCACAGTTTGGTTCAGTTTTGAACCATAGTTTATTGGTTTTTCATGTTTGGTTTCGACCTTATCAATGACTCATAAATTCAAAAGGTATTGTCCACTAGCAATCACAAAGTACAATAACAGCAATTGTGATACACACTTGAGAACTAAGAACTGAAAAGTGTTTTATTAATTTTCTGCTAAGGTACATAAAGTCAACCCTACTCTATGAATACTATTTAAATTGTGAGAAGTCCTAGACAAATACTTCTACTACTGATAAAAATCTCATAGGTAACCTGATATGGAACTAACAAAAGATAACTATCCTGAGTAAATACTAATAAGATAATGATAAGTATCATTCCTCCCTCTTGAGCAGGATCCTTGTCCTCAAGGACTATGGAAAATAATTGGTACTTGCTCAACCAACTCCCACCCTATCTTCCTTATCTTCTTTACAATCCTCCTCAATCAATTCAAACATTAAATGTCATTGCTTCCTGCATTTGTGGTCCGCCATGTAACGCTCCTCACAGTTAAACACAATCAATTCTCTCTTCTTTTTTTCATTTCCTCCTTCATATGTTTCTTGGTTGGTGCCTTGCTATTATCTTCAAGACTTGTTGAAAGCACTTCTGGCCCTCTTTTTTCTTGATGCATCTGGTTTACTGGATCATTGTTCGTTCTAGCATTGTCAACTGCTTCCCTTACATCTCGGACTTCCACCTTTTCACCTTTCCTGCTAATTCTGGGTCAAATCTGCCAACAAATGCTTTAATGAGAGCATTTTGGGGCCAACCTAATATCATATTGGCCTTTCAAATTCGTTTTGACTGTCTCTTGTGGACTCAGTTTGCTTGACTTGTGTTAATGCCTCATCATAGTCCTCGAATTCAGTAGGCCCAAACTGAGAGAGCAACTCCTTTCAAACTCTTCCCATGATATGTGTTTAACCTCTTTCTTATATGTTCATCGCCACCATTGAAGCTATTGAAGGTTCTTCCTGTTTGTTTAGTGAAAAAATATTTGGCTTAAGTTAAGTAATCATCTATAAGAGGAATGAAAAGGAAGCTTTTGGACTTTTGCTTGTTGGGTTAACCTACACTGGATTACAGCATAACTAAGTTCAGGATTCTGCAATATATTAGAGCAACATATTTACTATGGTTTTAGTCTCTCTTCTTTTGGTTTTTTTTCTCTTATAATCATAATATAAAATTGTTTGATTATATCAATCAATTTAAAGGAGGTTTCCTCGTGGTTGACACAAATGGATGGATTATCTTGTTTCCCCTTGGGCTCTGAGTTAACTTCTACTTATGTGAACGGAAATTGGTATGCGTTAACAGGTGCAGTGGTGTTATGGGTAAATATACTACGGGAGAACTCAAGCCACTTACAACTGGTACGTTATATTCTGATTTCTGTTACAGAATTTATTATGGTTATACAAAGTATTGCGTGAACAATTATATAAAAATATTTGATACTTTTTTGAGATTATGTAGAATTTGCTTGAGTTGCATATGCTTGAATGGGAAAATACTTAATATAATTTTTGAACAATTTACTCTACATAGTTTCATTCTAATATGCGTAGCGTGCTTGATTAGCCCTGATGAAACGTATGCCATGGTTATTAGCACACTATCTAGTTTCTCCTTTATGAAATGTCAATCTATCTCAATATGCATAGCTCTATCATGCCAAACTAGATCATAAGTGATGCTAATAACTTATTTTTTGTGATGAAACAACTTCGTAGGGGTTTCATACTTAATCTTAAGAACTTACAATATAATATTCACCCATAGCAGCTCACAAACTCGTTGCACCATAGCTTGTGTTAGAAAATAATATAAACTATTAAATAGACTATCACCCACCAACTTAAGCTTTTGGGTTGAATTGGTTCTTTACAGCTTGAAACTCGGCCTCTAAATTTGATAGGGTGTGAATATTTTCTTTCTTACTCCTCCATCTTACTAAATTTCCACCCTAGATGATACAGTAAGTGGTGGTTGATCTCCTATAAATTCTAGTTGATCTTCTATTAGTAACTGATCCTGCATATTCCACATCTATATATACTTCCATGGATAGATTTTCACCCCTTTTGAATAATATTCCTCTACCAGGTGTAACTTTAAGGTACTGCAGGACCCTGTTCACTGCTTGTAAGTGTCTCACTCTGAGGTTATGAATGAACCGGCTAACAACACTAACAACGTATACAACATCTGGTCTAGTATGTGTTAGGTATATCAGCTCACTAACTAACTCTAATATTGAACTTCATCAACTTTGGGACTTTCTTCATCATTTCCCATTTTGTGATTCTGCTCAGTAGGTACACCAGCAGCCTTACAACCTAGCGTTCTGGTTTCCCAAAGGAGGTCTAGAGCATACTTCCTTTGGGAAATAAAGATATCTGGTTTATAGTAAGCAACTTAAACCCCAAGGAAGTATTTGAGTCTTCCAAGATCAGTCTTTGTATAATTGAGTCATGACACTTAAGATAAAAATTGACTTCTGCATACCTTTCGTAATTCTGAACATAAATCCTCTACAGTGATTCTAGTGAAAACCTTATTTGAACATACTTTGTACGCAGGTAGGAATCTGATATCTTCATTTCCAATTTTCCAGTGAACAGAAGTAATAAAAAAGCATCAATATTTTGATTCTGTAAAAACAAGATTTATAGAAAAGAGGAATTTTGCTTCACAGAACATTTTTTCTTAATTGAATTCGTTCTTCCTCTTAGCTTCTTCCCGTGTTTCTGGGAAGCGTCCTCAGGTCATGCCTTCAACTCCAAGATGGGCAGTTGCCAATGGTGCTGGTGTTATATTAAGTGTTTGTGATGATGAAGTTGCTCGCTATGAGACTGCTACATTAACAGCAGTTGCTGTCCCTGCACTTCTACTTCCTCCTCCAGCAACAGCTTTGGATGAGCATCTTGTTGCTGGATTACCAGCTCTAGAACCATATGCACGTTTATTTCATAGGTTATTCTGAGCCCAATACCTTTTTTGTTATTTTGTAGTTCCTAGAATGCATCTGCCTGAGAAAATTTATATACCTAAATTATCTAGATATTATGCCATTGCTACTCCAAGTGCCACACAAAGACTTCTTCTTGGGCTTTTAGAAGCACCTCCATCATGGGCTCCAGATGCACTTGATGCTGCTGTGCAGCTTGTAGAGCTTCTTCAAGCTGCGGAAGATTATGCTTCTGGAATAAGGGTAAGTTGTATAATCTTTATACATAGACAATTTTCTGGTATCATATCATTGATGAATACAACATGTTTTCATCATTATGGCTTTATTCAAGCACTTCTGAGTGAATGTTGTGAAATAAGGTTAGATAGTCATCATTACGCTAAAACATGTTATCCATCTTCATGCAATGTATCAAATATGAATTCAAGGATCAAAGTGGTGCCTTATCTCCCGCTGTGCATTTGTTCATTTTATTTTGATGGTTGAAAGTCTGGTCTTCTGCTAGATAAGCTTGCACTTTTAATCTAGTCCCCAAAAGAAGTCATCCCTTTATTAAGTTCAACAATTTAACAATTCATGTTGCAATTTGGTCCTGTCATTATCCTTAGAGCCCGTTTGTTTGGCCTTTTAAAAAAAGAAACTTTTACGCCTTACTTATTTTAAAAGTTCTTTTTACAAAAGTTAAAGCTATTTAGATTTTTAAAAAAGTAGAGTTTTTGAAAAAATTATTTAGCTTTTGACTTCTGCTCTTTTTAGAAGCTAAAATTTTTAGCTTTTAAAAAAAGCAGGTTTTTGACTTTTTTTATGACTTTTGCTTTTTTTTAAAGCAGACATCCAAACGAACTTACAGTGAGAACAAATGGGCCCTTAGTCCTGCAATTTAACAGAATTGTAGAAAAAAAGAAATAATATAGAGAACCCTCATTTTGTGATTATATATTTATCTACCACCTTACATCTGTGTATTATTTGCAACAAAACGAGAGACTGTATACCACCTGTAGTAGGATTGTATAGTGCAAGAGAACAGTACAAAAGTACAACTAATACATCTGTATACAATAAATAACAATATATTCAAATGAATGGGATAGCTACTATTTCAACACTCTCCTTTATGCTCCAAGCTCGTTACAAATGTAGCTAAACCTAGGACCTCTAAGAGACTTGGTAAATCTTTGGTTATTTAAATTGATGAAACTAGTAACAATACACCCTTACAATTTCTTCTCTCGCATAAAATGACAATCCACCTCGATATGTTTGGTGCTCTCATGGAAGGTTGGACTATAATCAATGTGCAAGGCTCTTGGTTTGTCATGTTGGTCTATGCCTTCGAGGCTGAATATATATTGACCTTGCTCTTTTACATTGCATCATGTCTTTTATTTAATACATGAGACATTTCATTTAGTATGTTGTTTATTTCAATTAAATGAACGTGGGTTCATAGTGAGAGAACAACAACAAAAGTCTTTTCCAATTAGGTGGGGTTGGCTACATGAATCAAACGATGCTATTTTGCTTTCTTGTTCCATGATGAGAGAAATGAGTAATATTTGATGGTGCATTCTATGTGGAATGTGCCTGTAGTAGCAAATATTTAAGCTAACTGTGGCATCCGTGACGCTGTAGTCTCTGTGGTATCCGCTCATTCAAGAGATCTTCATGCTTGAAGCATGGGCAATGCATAGGCCCACCTTATGTTGTATTGAATTAACTTTTTATTTAGATAAAAAGGAGACAAGTATCAAGACCACATGGCCATAGAGACGAGACTTTGACATCATATGATGAACTAACTATTTCAAAAGCTTAAGCTACTAGTAGAAGACACATGAATGATTTTATATTACATCTTTATGCAGAAATTTTGTGAAAGCTTAAAAACCAATTGACTGATTCAGCTTTTTCTTCTAAATGTTCATACAGCTTCCTAGAAATTGGATGCATTTTCATTTCTTGCGTGCCATAGGGACCGCAATGTCCATGAGAGCTGGTGTAGCCGCTGATGCAGCAGCTGCTTTGCTTTTCCGTATACTTTCACAGCCTGCATTACTTTTTCCACCGCTTAGGCAAGTTGATGGAGTTGAAGTTCAACATGAACCTTTGGGTGGTTTTATTTCTTCTTTTAGAAAGCAGGTTCTGATCATCTTTTATAAGTTACCTCTCTCTTTCTCTCATTTTGTACGGTACTATAGATCTGATTCTTTATGTATGCTGAATATCTATAATACTTATTATTGATCAGATTGAAGCTCCTGCAGCTGAAGCCACTATTGAGGCTACAGCCCAAGGCATTGCATCAATGCTTTGTTCCCATGGTCCAGAGGTTGAATGGAGAATTTGCACCATTTGGGAAGCTGCTTATGGCCTTATTCCGTTAAATTCCTCAGCTGTTGAACTTCCAGAGATTGTAGTTGCAACACCATTGCAACCTCCCATACTCTCATGGAATTTGTACATACCCCTACTCAAGGTTCTTGAATATCTTCCTCGTGGAAGTCCATCAGAAGCATGTCTCATGAAAATATTTGTTTCTACAGTGGAAGCTATACTTCAGAGGACATTCCCAACTGAGTCCACTAGTGACCAAAACAGAAAAATAAGATACCTCTATCGCAAGGGATCTGCCTCCAAAAACCTTGCTGTGGCAGAATTTCGTATTATGGTTCATTCACTTTTCTTAGAATCATGTGCTTCTATAGAGCTTGCTTCACGCCTACTATTTGTTGTCTTAACTGTTTGTGTTAGTCATGAAGCTCAATTCAATGGAAGCAAGAAGCCAAGAGGTGAAGATAATTATTCAGCTGAGGAAATTATTAAGGACTTACAAGCAATATCTGAAAGCCAGAAAAAAACAAAAAATAAGAAAATGAAGAAGCAAGGTCCTGTAGCAGCATTTGATTCTTTTGTTCTGGCTGCTGTTTGTGCTCTTGCCTGTGAGCTTCAGCTGTTCCCTCTAGTTTCACAGGGGAACAATAACTCAGTCTCCGGTAATGTACAACATATAGCCAAGCCTGTCAAAATTCACGGATATTCCCATGAGTTGCAGAATGGCATAGATTCAGCAATACGACATACTCAAAGAATTTTAGCAATTTTAGAGGCACTATTTTCATTGAAGCCATCTTCTCTTGGTACCCCATGGAGTTACAGCTCAAATGAAATAGTTGCTGCAGCTATGGTTGCTGCACATATTTCTGAACTATTTAGACGGTCAAAAGCATGCATGCATGCCCTTTCTGTTTTGATGTGTTGCAAATGGGACAATGAAATTCACTCTAGGGCATCATCATTGTACAATCTCATAGATATTCATAGCAAAGCTGTTGCATCCATCGTTAACAAGGCAGAGCCATTGGGAGCAACCTTTATTCATACACCTATTTGTAAAGACGACAAAATCAGTGTGAAAGTAGTAGGCACTTTGACACTGAGCTGACATCTATCTCGCCTTCTGAGGATTCAGCCTCCGCAGAACTTAATCCCAAACCTGAGAAAACATCATATTCAAATGAAGCGTTAGGATGTACCTTAAGAAAAGGTGTCACAGGTTTCTCATTGGATGCTTCTGATCTAGCCACCTTCCTCACAATGGACAGGCATATAGGATTCAATTGCAGTGGCCAAAATTTTCTTAGATCCACGCTGGTAGAAAAACAAGAGTTATGTTTCTCTGTAGTATCACTACTATGGCACAAGTTAATTGCATCTCCTGAGACTCAACCTTGTGCAGAAAGCACTTCTGCTCAACAGGGATGGAGACAGGTACTATTTAATATATTTGTAGAAAATTAGAATTCAAACATGTTTCCGTTTTTATTTCCTATTAATTAGGATTGATTATGATTGATTAGGATTGATTATGATTGATTAGGATTAATTGTGATTGATTAGAATTGATTGTGATTAGGATTGTGATAGGATTGATTAGTCATCGCTTAGTCATTCTTAGCGATTCTTTCTTGTATAAATACTCACTCATGTAATTTATTCAATATCAATATACAAAAACTTCTTTTCAATATGGTATCAGAGCCAGGTTCGTTCCTACCCTAATTCAAATCTGAAATAACCATCCAAACACTTCCATCACCGTCAAACACCTCCTAAACACCGCCTTGAATCTGTCCAACACAGAAACCTAGTTTACTGACCTCCGATCAAAAAAAGTGAGGTGACCATTCGACTCAGAAGGATCCGACGAGTCGACCGCCGCTGGACCCATCGCCGTCAGCCGCTGCACGCGCCACCACGCGCCGCCTTCCAGACGTTTTTTTTCCGTCGCGACTTGCACAGACCTTCTCGCCGGCTTCTCCCCTTCCTGTTCCAGAGGTCAGATCAAAAGTTTACAAAACTTGATTTTTCATCAACGGTCAAACCTTCTCTTTTTATTCATGGCTTCCTCAAAACACTCTTTTTATTACCACGAGCAACCTCCTAAGGCCACTAGTCATGTGGTCCAGCAAGGTACAACTTTCCATGTTGATAGTCAAAATCATTGGATCCTTGATTCTGGAGCCTCTGATCATATGACAGGTAATCTTGGCTTGTTTTGTTCATACACTCCATATTCTGAACCTTCTCGGGTCAAGATCGCCGATGGCAGTTTTTCCCAGATTGCGGGACACGGAACCATTAAACTTTCTGAGCTGATTACTTTGACATCAGTTCTTTATGTTCCTTCTCTGACTTGTAATCTCATTTCCATTAGCAAGCTCACCTCTGAGTTGCATTGCTTTGCTAAATTCTTTCCACATGGTTGTGTTTTTCAGGAACAGGACTCGGAGAGGATGATTGGCAGTGCTAGAGAGGATGGTGGACTTTACTACTTTGAGGAGGATGTGACTCATGAAGCTGTTTTCGTAGAAAAAAACTCTATGTTTCCTTTTGATTCATGTAATGATGTTATGCTGTGGCATCGTAGGCTAGGCCATCCAAATTTTATTTATCTTCAGAAGTTGTTGCCAAACTTATTTATTAATAAAAGTCCAAGTTTGTTTTCTTGTGATATTTGTCAACTTGCCAAGCATACTCGTGCTCATTATCCTTCTAAAGTTCACCATGACTCTTCCCCATTTTCCTTAATTCATAGCGACATATGGGGTCCAGCCCGTGTTAAAAATATTTCAGGTACTCGATGGTTCATTACCTTCATTGATGACCATTCTCGAGTTTGTTGGGTGTATCTTCTAAAGGATAAGTCCGATGCTGCATCCGTGTTTAAAAAATTTCATGCCATGGTTCAAACCCAATTCCAAGTTGCTATACAAATTCTTCGTACAGATAATGGCAAAGAGTATTTTAACTCTATTCTTGGAGAATATCTTTCCCAACATGGCATCCTTCACCAAAGCTCGTGTCCTGACACACCCCAACAAAACGGAGTTGCGGAAAGAAAAAACCGACATCTCCTTGAAGTTGCTCGGGCTCTTATGTTTACCACGAGTGTTCCTAAATATCTTTGGGGAGAGGCAGTTCTCACTGCCTCGTATCTGATAAATCGAATGCCATCTCGCATTCTGAAATTTCAGTCTCCTCTTTCTAGTCTTGTCCGTATCTTCCCTTCCTTCCGAGGTGTCTCCTCCTTACCTCTCAAGTTATTTGGTTGTGTTGTATTTGTCCATATTCCCTCCCATCAACGGTCTAAGCTTGATCCTAAGTCTCTCCAGTGTGTCTTTATTGGTTATTCTCCTACTCAACGTGGCTATAAGTGTTATTCACCCTCTCTTCGTAAGGTCTTTGTCTCTATGGATGTCACTTTTTCTGAGAATGACCCTTTCTTCCCCTCGACTTCTCTTCAGGGGGAGTCTATAGGAGTAGATGAAGATCAGTCATGGGAACCTATTAATGCCACAGTATTACCTCTACTTTTGGAAACAGGGGGAGCTACAGAATCCTCACCATCAGGAGCCTCCTCAAAATGGGGACAAGTTTATAGCAGGCGAAAGCCTCCTCAAAGTGTGAATAACCCAGAGCCTCTACACTGCCAGGATTCTGAACCATGTTCTAGTTCCAGCACCCCAATACTTGAGTGTCATGGTGAAAATGATCTACACTTGCCCATTGCTCTCAGAAAAGGTACTCGATCTTGTACTACTCATCCTATTTCTAATCATATTTCATATGGAAAGTTGTCCCCAGGGTTTCGTGCTTTCAATACTATGTTGGATAGTACAAAGATACCGAGAAATATACATGAGGCTCTCAATGATAAAAAATGGAGGGATGCTGTCTTTGAAGAAATGAATGCTTTAGAAAGAAATGGAACTTGGGAGATAGTGACCCTACCCAAAGGAAAAAAGGCAGTAGGATGCAAATGGGTGTTTACAATAAAATTCAATGCAGATAATAGCATCAACAGATACAAGGCAAGATTGGTTGCAAAGGGTTTCACTCAGACTCATGGGATAGATTATCATGAGACTTTTGCTCCGGTTGCTAAAGTCAATACCATCCGAGTTCTCTTATCTCTTGCTGCCAATCTAGATTGGCCTCTGCAACAGTTAGATGTGAAGAATGCATTCCTAAATGGTGACTTACATGAAGAAGTCTATATGGATCCTCCACCTGGTTTTGAAAGGGGAAATGAATCAGTGTGTAAACTAAAAAAGTCTCTATATGGATTGAAACAGTCTCCCAGAGAATGGTTCGACAAATTCACACAAGCAGTCAAAAGAAGAGGCTTCATTCAAGCACAGACTGATCATACTCTCTTCCACAAACACTCTAAGGATGGTAAAATTGCTATTCTTATTGTATATGTAGATGATATAATTCTTACAGGTGATGATATTGAGGAATTGAACACCTTGAAGAAATTTCTAGCAGCTCAATTTGAACTCAAAGACCTTGGCACTCTCAAATATTTCCTTGGTATGGAAGTTGCTAGGAGCAAAACAGGCATCACTCTAACACAAAAGAAATATGTTCTAGATCTTTTGTTGGAAACAGGAATGTTAGGGTGTAAACCTGCTAAGACACCTGTGGAACCTAATACCAAGTTAGGTATTGAAGATGGGAATGAGGTGGATAAAGAACAATATCAGCGATTGGTTGGTAAACTAATCTACTTATCTCATACGCGTCCTGACATTGCCTTTGCGGTGAGTATGATTAGTCAATTCATGCACTCACCCAAGGAGAAACATCTTAGTGCAGTCTATAGGGTGCTTAGATACCTCAAGAATACTCCAGGAAGAGGATTATTCTTTAAAAAGGGGTATAAAAGGACAATTGAAATCTACACTGATGCAGATTGGGCAGGCTCATCAGTAGACAGAAGATCTACCTCAGGCTATTGCACCTATGTGTGGGGAAATCTTGTTACTTGGAGAAGCAAAAAGCAAACAGTGGTTGCAAGAAGTAGTGCTGAAGCAGAATTTCGAGCTTTAGCTCATGGAGTTTGTGAAGGAATCTGGTTGAGAAGACTTCTTCAAGAGTTGAAGATTTCATATTCCCTACCAATAAAACTATATTGTGACAACAAGGCAGCTGTTAGCATTGCTCAAAATCCTGTGCATCATGATCGAACAAAGCACGTGGAAGTTGATCGTCACTTCATCAAAGAAAAATTAGATGATGGAAGTGTGCATTTGATATATGTTCCAACCAAAGAGCAAACGGCAGATGTCCTTACCAAGGGCCTACACCGTCCAGCATTCGAAGACTTGATTGGCAAGTTGGGAATGATCAATATTTACCTCCCAACTTGAGGGGGAGTGTAGAAAATTAGAATTCAAACATGTTTCCGTTTTTATTTCCTATTAATTAGGATTGATTATGATTGATTAGGATTGATTATGATTGATTAGGATTAATTGTGATTGATTAGAATTGATTGTGATTAGGATTGTGATAGGATTGATTAGTCATCGCTTAGTCATTCTTAGCGATTCTTTCTTGTATAAATACTCACTCATGTAATTTATTCAATATCAATATACAAAAACTTCTTTTCAATAATATTATACTTCTGGAACTATTGTCTTGTTATTATTGTTATTTTTTTAATGGTGAGTCATTATTTATCCTCCGTATGCTAGAATTATAAATGTTTTCAATCTATAACAAAAGTTGAAAGCAAAGTTGCCATCATGGAACAGCTCACTTCTTGTTAGTCATAGAAATTCGATTCTAGAGCTGCTGGAAAATAGAGACTGATGATAATTTGAATTAGTAACACTAATGTAATTCAACCTGCAGAAGAGGTGTATCTTTAATACACCAGAAAGACAGAAAAGACACCACCAAATTGCTTAAACAGCAAGACAGGAAGAAAATCAGAGTCTGAAATCTTAAAAATTATATATATTTTCAAAATCAATAAAGAGCTGTACTTGTCATCACATCAAAGGTAGACTACTATGCTCAAGCCAAATAATGCTCATTAAACTGACGAAGCAGCATCCTTTGACAATCTACTACTATAGTTAGACAAGATATATCAGGTTTAACTTCTAAGCATCAAAAGAAATTCTGAAATAGGGATAGTGTATGTTAGGGAAAATTATATGATGTAAGTGATGAGAAAACTCTTACGGGTTAAGTCATTAGTACTTGTTATGAACCTAATGTATAGGTTAGTTGTTACTTCATGTAGTTGTAATTTATGTTAGGAAACCTCCTTTAGTGTGGAGAGAGGTGTAGGGAATCACATTTCAATTATGGGTATCAATAATTATAGGTGATTGATTTTGTATTTATTGGGTTGATTTATGGGTGTTTGATCGTACATGTATGAGGAATCTGTTTGTTCTAAATAGGAG